ACACACACACATACATACATACACACATACATACATACATACATACATACATGGCCCGTGGGCCCGTGTATGGGCCCGTGGGCCCGTGCATGGGCCCGTGGGCCCGTGGGCCCGCTGGCCCGTGGGCCCGCTGGCCCGTGAGCCCGTGGGCCCGTGGGCCCGTGCATGGTCCCGTGGGCCCGTGGGCCCGCTGGCCCGTGAGCCCGTGGGCCCGTGGGCCCGCTGGTCTTATTTTGACTTGGCTGTCCGTGGGACGGGCCCTTCTCCTACTTAGACGATGACGTCTGACAAGAGCAATGACTGGCGATGTATGTATGCGTATATACACACACTCACTACACTAGCATCCTGTTCGGTAAGCCGCTATTGGACGTTTACGGACTTACATCGGTTGGTCTGGAGATCAGTCATTGTAATCATCAAGCTACCTTACACGTAATCCTTTCCAAGGGCAATCTTCTATACTCATGCCATGCTATTACGAAGAACACTGCAACCATGTTCGGTCGTTTAACCCCCCGATTTTTTTACTGGGATATAGTCGAGGTGATGTGTGCCGTCTTTTCCGGCGATGTGGACATTCTGCGGCAGAAGCTTGGCACGAGCTGGATGTCATCATATCTGGTTCGACATTATTCAAATTTCAGAGGCAATATAGGCTTGACACCCTCAAGGCGAAACACCTGCAGCAATCCGATGCGACCCAAACACAATTTACGATCCTTTGCAAAACCCTTATACCCCACCACAAAGCCCAAGCCCTAAACCCTAAGCAGACCATCAGAAACACACTAGGCGATAAGATCCCGAGATTGGTTTTTGGCTTTGACAGCTTCCCAAGGAGGCCTTAAGTACTCCTGCGGTTTAGGGTTAGAGCCCTGCAACAAAATGCCTATCTTAAGCCGGAAAGAGCTGGGATGGTTTTGGTGGTTTTTTGGATCCCACAGAGGATCTCGGTATCTGGCTTGGCCGCACGAATCCCCTCAACCAAACCCTGAAACCCTCGACCCATAGAAACCCTAAACCCTCCCCGAGACTTTATATTGTAGTGTTTACAGTCTCATCTGGCATGTGCTCCGTTGTGGTCTGGCAATCGCAAGAAGAGCCACGACTAGCGTCCATTTCAATCTCGTACACTTGCCTCAGAAAGCCTTACGAACTCCCTTTATCCTCAGGGTCCGCAGACTCGCATAGAATATACTTCGGCCTCAAAGCAGTCCCTGTGTGGGTACGCTGGGGCCACAGTATAAACTATACGGATACATGGACCTTCGGGTTTCAACCCTTCCAAAAGATTGCAACCCTGATGAAACCCTGACCCTTCAAGAAAGCGGCAAACGTTGGAAATCCGAAACCGTACCCGGAAGGCTTGTCGCACAAAAGAAGACTTGTTGTTTAACCCTGAAAGGAGCCTTCTTCCATTTATTCCAACAAAAAGACCCCCTATAATCACTAAAACCTTGTTAAATTCCTATCAAGCCCGACAAAGCCTCATGAGCACCTATCGAAAAGCCGTTTCGAGTTAGGAAGGCCTCTGAACCCAAGCCTTAAACCCTGAACCCAAACCTTCGGCCCTAGGCCCCTTACACTAAACCCGGCGTCGAGGCTTGTCGCCCATCGCGCAAATGTCAACCACTCTGTGCAGGGCTTGGGCAGCTGGGCTTTGACTGTCTAGGCTAAAAGGGCTCCTTTAGCACACCTAAACCCTACCTAGAGTGTCCATTGTAGTTCCTTGTTTGGTTAACCAAATTTGTTAAGGTTCATTTGGTCTTTACGGTTGGGTTCAGCCGATACCGCCGAAGCACCTTGGAAAAAGCTCTACGATCCTGAATTGATAATTGGGTGGTGTACCAGGGTTTCCGGGCACAAGAGGGTGCTGTTTGGGTTTTTTCGTTCATTAAGGAGGTGTACGAGGCCCTAAAGTGTACCTTATGCTGGTAACACCCTCCTGAACGCAAGCAGCTTTGGGTCACAAGTCCTACATTGCGAGGATTTAGACCAAAATCCAAACACTGACACTAAAATACAAGCTTCAAAGGTCCTAAACCCTATGAGCCCTTAGCCTAAACCCCTAAACCCCTAGGTTTAGCCTCAGAGGTCCCGGATTCAAACTATCAGAGCCTCTAATATACCCTGAATACCCACTATTAAGGACCACAAGGGTCCTGGTAAACCCTAAACCCAAAACCCAAAACCCTAAACCCAAACCATAAGAACCCAAAGCCCCAAAACGCTAAAGCCCTAAACCCAAAGCCCTAAAAACCCTAAACCCCAAAACCCTACAGCCCTAAACCCAAAGCCCTACAACCCTAAAACCCTAAACCTCAAAACCCTGAACCCTATAAGCCCTGAAACCCTAAACACTAGACCCTATACCCTAAACCCTAAACTAGGAGCCCTTTAATAGATCCCTTTCAGAAGCCCTTTAAGGGCCCTTAAGGGGGGTCCCTGATTCAAACACGAGATCTGAGGCGACTTGGGGTACTACGACACCCAGACGGCGCTCATGGCAGCCTGCAAGTCGCAGCAGGAGCCCTTTAAAGGGGCTCCTAAAAGGGTTTAGGGGTTTAGGGTTTATAGGGTTCAGGGTTTTAGGGTTTAGGGTTTTGGGTTGATGACATAAATCCTGCAGTACCCAGAATAAGGAATATACCATAGTTCCCATGGTTTAGCCTTTTTGGGTTCCTGTATGGGAGTTTCCGAAGATTCGGGGTAGCTTGTTTTGGTGTCCTTATGATAAGGATCCTCCTATTTATAGGGTGCCATATTAGGGTCCCCTATTTTCTGAAGCTCCCGAATAAGGGTCCGAAGGACCCCATAATTTGGGACTCGGATTTATATAGGCTAGTAGTTATGTAAGTTAGTGTTTGGGAGAGTATATGATCATCGGGTACTTGGACCCGAAGCATAAACAATCTAAGCACATTTTCTCCGTGGGAGTGGGAACAAAGGCCCGTCATATTGGTTTCGAACTGGCTCGATCTGTCCAAGCAGTCCAACGGTTGATGATATAAATCCTGTATGACCCATAATAAGGAATATACCATAATTCCCATATATTCCTTATTATGGGTAATGCAGGGTCTATATCATCATCCGAAGCAGGCAGGCACTGCATGGATCCCGACTTGTCACTGCGCAATGTAGAACCCGATCAACTATACCTAGACTAAACACGGTATCCTGAAAAAGGACACGACCTACAAAAGCGGTTTCCTGTATCCCACTTATTTTTAATTACCTAGGCTTCTCTAAGCAGAGCCAGCTTGTGTTGAACATCATGGAGACCCTGGCTTGACTCTAACCAATTCACAGTGTTTCTCAGTCGATCTCCTCTTTCTTTTTATTTGGTAGTGCCTCATACTGAAGGCAGGGTTATACTTTTGGTTCTAAGCCCCCGGGTCCTTACAGTAAATATGCGCAGCTGCTGCAGTCGCAGACTAAGAAGGCTCAAACACCAGAGCAAACCCCAAACTTTTGGTGTTTACCCTAAGGCTCCTGGACCCTCGTAGTAAGATCCCAACCTTGGCCCCCAAAGCCCAAATTTCAAAATCCAAAATTCCAAAAATCCAAAATCCAGAACCCAAAATCCAGAACCCAAAATCCAGAACCCAAAATCCACAACCCAAAACAAAAAAACAAAATCCAAACTCTGGCTCAACAGCCCCTCTCGTCAGCTCATGTGTTGGGGACCTTTCAGGGTCTGTTATCTTAAAAAGTAGGCGCCCTAAAAAAGGGGTACTTGAAGGTTCATGGGACTTAGTAAGTAAGGTTATAAGTAGGTTATAATTAGGATAACCCCACTTAGGGGACTTATAACCCCAATTATAACCTACTTACTAAGTCCCATGATCCTCTATGACCCTTTGGGGAGCCTTAGGGTAGTCCCTATACTAAACCCCTAAACCCTATGTATCCCCTAAACCCTATATAAACCCAAATTCAACCCGAAACCCTTATAGGGTCCATTAGAGGACCCCTTACTTGGAAGGACAGGGGACTTGGTAAGCAGGCTATAAGTAAGGTTATAAGTACTCTAATTGGAGTCACCCCCAATTATAACCCAACTTATAACTTACTTACCAATTCCCCTGCCCCTCTAAGTAACCCCTGTTCAGGTATAAGTTTCGGGGCCCGAACTTTTCAGGGTCTTTCTGTCCCTGAGGTTTAGGATTTACCTGCAGGCTCATATCCTACTTAGAGGATCATGGGACTTAGTAAGTAGGTTATAATTGGGGTTATAAGTCCCCTAAGTGGGGTTATCCTAATTATAACCTACTTATAACCTTACTTACTAAGTCCCATGAACCTTCAAGTACCCCTTTTTTAGGGCGCCTACTTTTTAAGATAACAGACCCTGAAAGGTCCCCAACACATGAGCTGACGAGAGGGGCTGTTGAGCCAGAGTTTGGATTTTGTTTTTTTGTTTTGGGTTGTGGATTTTGGGTTCTGGATTTTGGGTTCTGGATTTTGGATTTTTGGAATTTTGGATGTTGAAATTTGGGTTTTGGAATAGCCTTTCCTTCCGTCATCTCCGTACCACAGGACAATGTTCCAATTCCGTGTGAGGAAGCCCGGGTGCATAAGGTGTTGGAGACTGCCTTCACGCCGAATGTAGAGGAGTTGCTGGAAGGCCTGAGTGGGCCACTTGAAGTAGTCCACCAGGTGTCTCCATCAGAGGTACAGCGCCATCTTGAAAAATGGAAAGCACCTGCTCAAGAGGAGGTGGATTCAATGGAAGGCATGTCTGCGATTATCCGCCACCGGGGTGCAGCAGCTAAAGCTCTCTTGAAGAGGGCTAATGTGGAGATATTGCCTGCAAAGGGTGTGTTTACAGTAAAGCCCGGCAAACCTTTCCGGAGAAAGGTAAGAGTGGTATCTTGCGGCAACTTTGCCAAATCTGTGGCAGAAGACGTGCTGTATGCTTCAGGCGCTCCAGCAGAAACACTAAGAGCACTTCTGGTGAACCATAAAACTAGGTATCCCAAAAAAGGGGCAGGGTGTGAGCCTCTAGGTAGGGTTAAGGGTTTCGGGTTAGGGACCGGTCGTCAGGGAGGGTTCCAAAGCTAATGCCCCAGGCCAAGCCCATGACCTCAGACCCAACGGGCCCTCACTGTAGGGTTTAGGGTTTAGGGTACCTTCCCAAAGGGTCCAAGTATCATCCTGGTATATACTTATAGGGCATTTTGGGGGTCTAAGTATGTCCCATGATGAACCTTTGGGCTTTATTATATAGTGGTTTAGGGTTTAGGCTTTCTGATACTATCTGAACGGTAGTTTCGAGTTTAGGTTTCCATCGTAGGACTTACCATTTTGGCTTGGGTAGGTATGCCCGATATGTAGGTGCTTAGGACCCGTCGGGACTCGCTAGCTAGTGATCGAGACGCTGTAAGCTCTACTTGGCGGGCCAGGAGACTTAGTCAAGGGATCCTTAAAGGGCCCCCTTAACAGGGTCATAGGGGGATCTATAAGGGAGGTAGGGAGGATTTAGTAAGTGGGGAAAAAGTACACCTATAAGTACCCTACACGGGATCCTCATGGGAGTTATGATACTCCCTCCAAGTAAACGTCTAGGACCCATCACTCGTGGCGGCAATGATCGACCTTCGTGCGGACGCCAATGCGCAGGCGTTGTGGTAGAACTTCAGAGGGTCCAATGCCCCATGGTGTGTCTCAGGCCCCAAGTTCCATACTCAAAGGGGGAAAGGAGGGACCCTTCATGGGGACCCCTACCCTATAATGGGCTATATAATGGGTTTATAATGGCTTTATTAAGGGTATATACCTAGGGGTCTCCTCCTTTTACCCTTGGACATACGACTCTGGATGTTTTCTTGGATAGCAACACCCTAAACCCTAAACCTTACTGTTTGGGCACTTAGATGCTTCGGGCCAAGTTCTCCACCAACCTCGCACCAGACACGAGAAGCCTAGTCACCTGCTTGCTTATCATGATGGTCACTAGGGTCTTCATTTTTGTGTGTGTTTTTTACGTTAGCGCTAAGTTTCGTAGGACTCTGTGGTTTGAGGATATGTTTGGGAGCATTGGGACGGTTTTCCTGACGCCCTGTGTTTAATCAGATCGGTATTCTGTACTGGTTTGCTGCATTCTACATAGTGTGTTGTGCATGCCGACTCCAACCGTCACTGTCCGTTGGACTTTTCAGCTGTCGCTGCGAAATTTCGCTTGTTACTAGGGGTTAGCTACCCCCAGGCTCCACGTGCCTGCATGGTATATACTTGGGCCTTGAAGTGGTTTCTACATAGATACGCTAATGCCTAAACATATAAGTACTAGAAAGGTACTTGGACCCTGTGGTTGGTTGGGCAGTAGAGTCGAGAACCAGTGTGGTCGGTACATGGTACATGAGCAACCTACACATGCAGATGACAAGGCTGCCAAATGCATTTCACAGCAGAAAACCTAAGATAAACCCAATAGAGGGTTCGGGGTTAAGGGTTGTATTTTAGGTACTCCCCCCATACAGTAAGAGTCTATAATAGGGCTACTATTAAGGTCCCAATACATCAATATATTATGAAAATGTTCAACTATAACTGAGTGGGGGCCGTGCCCAAGTTGATACACCCAAACCCCTTTATAAAGCCCGAAAACCATCCCTTCCCAATCCGCGTTCGTTCGAGGGTTTCCCTTGCAGGCGAGGACTGGTGTCACGCCATTGTTCGTGGCAAGGCTTCTCGACACAGAGTCTCAGGGTTTAGGGTTTAGGGTTAAGGGTTTAGGGTTTACGGTTTAAGGGTTTAGGGTTTAAGGGTTTAGGGGTTTAGGGGTTTAGGGTATAGGGCTTAGTGTGGTGCTTTTGAGGTTGTTTGGAGTTACGGGGATGACGCCGTTTCGAGTTTTCGTGTGACGGGGCACTATAGCGGCCGGATCCAGATAAGCGTCGGCCGACTGATCCAGATCAGTGTTGCCTCCAAGGCACGATGCTAGCCCTTCGAGTGTAGTGTAGGTAAGTAAAAAAACCCATTGCTGCCGTGCGGATCCATGAGTCTAGATCCAATTACGGATGAGATGTTTTCTGTTCTAGGTCTCATGCAGATATAGAGCAGCCCCAATGCGACCCTTTTCTGATTACGAGGTTTCAGAGTCAAAAAGGAAGCAGGAGTCCAATCGCAAATGCAACCATCATCAGCTCTCAAGACGGAGGAGTCACTGCGCACATAAGCCCTAAACCTTACCACCCTCAACCCCTTTGTTTGTTAAGATGTCTGAGTGGCCAAAATTACATGAGCCTGTAGTAACCTTGGGAAAGAACCCTCGGAGGACCACGGCGAGACAGAATCGTGTCTCAAGACAGAAGCCTACAAGAACCGTCACAAAACCCTGATAAACAAGCCTATAAATCCTGTGAAACCCGCTGTACCCCGATGAAGCCGTCATAAAACCCGGTTTAAAGCCCTGTTAGACCTTGTTCAACCCCATGAAACCCTAATTTACCTTTCAAGGAACCCTTAAAGGTAGCATAATTTTCACAACCACCCATGTAAGTCCCTATCCCAAACCCTTATAGTAACCTTTCAAGGAACCCTTTAAAGGTAGCCCTAAAGGTACTGCTGATGGACAAAAACCTACACTACCCATTATAAGGAATATACCATACTTCCCATAGTTTAGAGTCCTTAGGGTCATGCAGGATTTTGTCCATCGGCAGTAGCCGTTGAGATTGACCCAGGTCTCCAGGTCAGGTCAAAGTCTTGCTGGAGAAGAAGGCCGACATGCAAAGACATTTTGCATTGATGCCTGGTGCAAGCCTATGGGTTGAGGGTTCCTGAATAGCTACCTTGGGCAAAGGCATATACTATTACTATGTGGGTTGGACCCTTAAGGCAAAGGAAGCCCCTTTGAGGTGGGTTTAGGGGTTTAGGGGTTTTGTGGCATGCCGGAAGTGCCCTTCAATGGAGGCCGTCTGGTCCATAATAGTCTCCAATAAGGACTAGTCGGGGGGCGCTGGCTCGGTTTAGGGTTTAAGGGTGTTTTCCGATTTTGGGTCTTCATGGTTACGGCGGTTAGGGTTTAGCTTTAGCTGTTTGCGGTCAGGGGTTTAGGGTTCTGTGCGCAAGATTTCTACCCGTATGTCCCAACTACCCTTTGTCCGAAATTCCCGACTCGTGCGCAAGGCCTAAGCCTAGTCCCATGTAAAGGGTTAAAACAACAGGATGAACCCTCCTAAGTTCCTAAGCCACATCATATCATGGCCGCAAGGGTCCAAGTACCTACTTATCATATACTCTACACAACAGTAACCTACATAACTATTATCCCAAACCCGAGTGGGTGCTTTGGACCCTTGTGGTGGTAGGATGCCCTGTTCGGGTGCTGAAATGTTTACAGTCGCCAGGGCTGGGAAAGTCGGAGCTCATCAGCTCGCCAAGTAGTCTTGCTATTCCTTTTATGGTTTAGGGTCAAGGAATTTGGATTCTAGGGTTTAGTTTAGGGTTTAGGGTCAAGAATCTTGAGTTTAGGGTCGGGATTTCCTGGACTTTGAAGACCCTACCCTGTTATGGAATTATATAAGGAAGTCATATTTTTCGGATCCCTGAAAAGGTAGGTTCTTTAGGGTTCAGGTAGGGTCAACGATTTTGGGGTTTAGGGCATTGCGGGGCATAGATTTATGGTTGAGGTCAATGGTTCGGAGTTTATAGGTCATGAAGCCCGATTGAAAGAGCGCTCTTCTCGTGATCCGCTGAGTGTACGAAGTCTTGTTTAACAATATCTAGGATGCCCAGTAGTACCCTTATTCCATTTTTGTTGTCCTAGGTTCCGTTTAAAGTTACCCAACACCAAACCAAAAAGGGAACCCTTTTGATTCCTAGGTTACTGGCCATCCTAGATAAATCTCAAAGCAACACAACAATTAAAGCCAAGATCAGGCCGAGCCCCAACACGCCTGAAGTCTGACCTTCTACGCACGGTCCCGCTATCCCTCACAAGCCAGACCTCTAGACGTCCTTCATACGACTACCTAGTCCTAGACCCTATATCGTAGTACCTTGTTGGTTACCCTTAGTTTAATATTGGATCCTAACTGTAAAATCAGGCATCCAATCAAAGGCACTGCATTTCAAGATCAAGGTATCCCCAAGAATCCAAATTACCTAATAATCATACACTCTCCAAACTCCTAACCTACATAACTACTATCCTAGAACCGAGTACCCAATTAGTGGGTCCTTTGGACCCTTGGGGGGTATGACACTAGATTTATCCAGCTCCACGTAGATCCTTAACGAGCCCGACAAGCCCGGCGCTTCACAGTTTAATGTACTTGGAGGTGCACGGGACTTGGTAAGTAGGTTATAAATAGGGCTATAATTCAGGTAGCTCCATTTAGGGTACCTATAACTCTGCTTATAACCTACTTACGAAGTCCCCTGCCCCTCCAAGTCGGAACCTGATTAAGAAACCCTTGGCCTATAACCCCCAGCTAAGTAGGATTCATATAAGGAGCCCTAATGAGGACCCAGGGTTTCTTAATCAGGTTCCGACATTCATAGTAGTAGTTTTGCAGTGGTAGCTTGGGGTTGAGGGTTTCAGGCAAATTCTGCAACTTAGCTCTCCAATACCCGACCTTTTAAACTTCTTGGGTTTACATATTTTAGTAGTAATCTGAAAGTTTAACCTTTCATTTCCCTGGCTTATTGGGGAAGTAAGGCGGGCTAGGTGGGTTTTGGGTTTAGGATTTAGGGTTTAGAGTATAGTATCTATAACTCTATAGTTATATGCAGCACACCTGGAAGCTTGATTTGAATGGAATCAGGATATTCGCCCAGTCCACTGATCAAGCCCCGTATTGCTTAAATCCGGTGGACTCTAAAGTCGTAAGGCCCCCAAGATCGCAGAACTCACAGCCCTAAACCCCGAATCCCTTAGCCCCAATCCCTGAACCCTAAACTCAAAGCCCTAAACCCTGAATGCCTAAACGCCCTAAAAGCCCGAAGCCTTGAACCCTTCAGCCCCAAATCGCAAGCCCTTATGGTAGAGTCACGATGCAACACCACAAACACATATAAACTCTGATGCTCCTCCCAGAGAAACCCTGCGTTTTGGCATTGTGATTTCTGAGTCCCCTCTCGCCACTAGTTTCGAAGACCCCCATGTTAAGGTACATGATAATATTCGCATACACACACACACACATACACATGAGTGTTGAGGTAATCCCAAAGCGGCCCTATAAGCCATATGTACGTAAGGTATAACTTCAGCCCGTACAATCGACAGCAGTGGCCATCATATAAAGCTCTATATGGTTTAAGCCATATTCCTTATTCAAGGGGTATTTGGCTCTCTGGGTTTAGGGCTTAGCCGAGGAACGGCATCGCTTCTCTTGCGAGCACAGAAACGGCGTTGGCTTTGTTGGAGAGTCGCTGCGACCCCACCGACATCGGCGAAGCGCCCCGATGTGTATAGAGCAGTTTCTTAAAAAAGGGTACTATAGGGCTATAATAGGGTCCCCCTTAAAGGGTACTCTAGGGTTCTATAAAGGGTTCAAAGGACCCAATCATTAAGTACTCGGTTGTAGGATAGTAGTTATGTAGGTTAGGATTTTGGAGAGCACATGATTATTAGGTACTTCGGTTGATGATACAAATCCTGCGATATCCATCATAAGGAATATACCATAATTCCTTTGGTTTAGGGTCCATAAAGTAATGCAGGATTATATGGGAGTTTCCGAAAATGGGGACCCCAAAATAGTACCCTAAATAGTAGGATCCTTATTTTCAGGACCCCAAAATAAGGTACCCCCAGTTTTCGGAAACTCCCTTATCATCAACCGTTGGACCCTTGGGGTTTGAGGCTTCAGGTTTAGGACAGGAATTTTAGGGATGTAGGGTATTAGAGCTTAGGGTGGACCATAACCCAATATCTGTAAGGGCTTAGGGTGTAATTTAGGGTTTAAATAGGGTTTGGGGTATATGTATATATGTATAAATATAAATATAAATAAATAAATATATATATATATATATATATGAGGGTTCAGGGGCTTAGGGAAAACCCTAAGGCTCCTAAGAGGGTCATGGGATCTCTGGGGGAGGGTTTGGGCTTTGGGGGCTAAGGTTTGGGATCTCACTACGAGGGTCCAGGAGCCTTAGGTTAGGGTGGGCCATAACCCAAACAGAGCATAGCAAGGAATCCTCAAACGGTCGCCGAGATTAAGCTCATAGGGATTTTGTAAAGTGTTGACAGCGACGGGGGAGGGATTCGGGTACCCTACCGCAGTATGGTATCCTAAATACATATATGAGCCCTAAGCACTTCAGAATAACTCTTGACAGCCCCTCCTTTAAGGGAGCCCCTGTAGACCCCTTTAGGGGAGGCGTATGGGAACTGCCCGAAATCCTACAGCAGTCTACACTAATTCTTAACAATACCCGTGAAACTCTCAAGGCGAAAGGATGACGATGGCTCGACGGCGGTTCCCTTCATTGTTTCTTTCAGGTTGCTGTAATGGCTCCATGTGATTACGTCTTTTCTGTAATTTTGTGTTTTGCACTAGCTTGTTTGGTTAATGGTCTCCCCATTGGTCCAAATTATCCGTCACATACTTCCCAAAATAGTAACCTACATAACTAATATCCTAAAACCGAGTACCTAGCCTATTTATTGGGTCCTTTGGACCCCAAGGGTTTCGGTTGTAGGGACCTCCAATATGTCTTGCTCAGCCTGTTGTCTGCCTGGTTCTTACCCTAAGGGTCCTAACAAATTGGGGAACCTCAAGTTTGGGGGGTTTTGGAGACCCCAAAGAGACCCAACGACTCTTTTTAGGAGATTCCGGACACGCCTAGGGAGATATCTGGACCCTTAGGGTATCAGGGAATGGGGGAATGGGTTTTCGGGTTGGTGTTTGGGACTACTATAAGGGACCTTAAGTTAGTATCATAGGGATCCATTCCCCCATTCCTTACTAAGAATCACACAGTTGTTTTGGATTGCCTGAATGGTGGTTCTACTCCTGTCGATGAGGGTTGTGGCCGTGCGTATGACTTACTCACGACGATGATGATGGCAATGGGGTATGAGGACTATAGTGGCAAGCATGAGCCATGCCTGTCGACATGCTTTGATGGGTTGTTGTATGCCAGCCTGTCTGATTGCACGACGTCGGTAGTTTTGATTTAACCGATGTTGACATTCCTTTCACACCTGCAGCTGAGGCGAAATATGGACCATTGCACGCACTGGCCTTGTACTCCCGCAGCAATCGCTACGCCGTGGAAACGGCAAAGCTACTCGTTTCGGTTCTGAACCCTAAACCCTAAACCCTAACCCTAAACCCTATAATAAACGCTCAGCAGACTGAGAGGTCGCATCTACTGCGTCTTCGCATCTTCAAAGAGCCCCAGAGCACTACTAGCAGCCTCAGCACTTCAAGTCTGCTTAGACTAAGTATCCCGCATGGCGCCTCCAAAGGTTGCAGAGATCCATCTCGCCAATCCTGCGTGCCGAGCTAACGGAGTGCCCATGCAACTAAACCCCTGAGTTCTAAAACTTCCAACTCCTACCCCAAAAGTCGTATTCCCCTATCCTTAAATCAATCCCTCAACCGCTTGAAACCCCAAGATGCGACTCCGAAGTCCCAAAAGCTTCAAGCCCTCTTCAAAAGCCCAGCCCCAAGCCCAACGTCCTACATCCAAAAGCCCGGCCTTCAAGTCCCCAGTACCCTGTTTTCAGACCTTGTGGTCGAAAATACGGCTGATGATATAAATCCTGCATTACCCAATAATCAAACATATACCCTATTTCCCACAGTCTAGGGTCCTCAAGGTAATGCAGGATTTATATCATCAACTCCTTAAAACCCTATAGATCCCTTAATAGGAAGCCCTTAAAGGTACCCTTATAGATCCCTTCAAAGGATCCCTAGGATTTTCAACTGTGGTGGGTACTTACGCGCAAATAGGGCAGTTGGGGGCAGAACCAGGCAAGGACCCACCAACTGCCCTTGAATACTAAAGCTCTACTAAACCCCAAAGGTCCAAAGGACCCAATAGTTAGGTACTTAGGTTTCGGATAGTAGTGGTGTAGGTTTTGGGAGAGTATATGATTATGAAGTACTTGGACTTGGACCCTTTCCGAAAGAGCCTGTCGTCTTTAATTTGAAACGCTGCGCGTCGTCCGCCTCGGCCCGGCTGTACGCGCATGCGGCGAGTGGCTACTATCTGCAGTAGGGTGAGAATTTCAGGTTTGAAACTCGCTTGGTACTGCAGCCTTAAAGGCGAGCCCCTACATTGCAGTCCTGTGTCGCCGAAAACTCCACAAAACTCGCACCTGTCAGCGAGCGGAGGAGGGGCGGGAGGGAAGGGGGACGGGGGGGGGAGGGGGGGGGGGGGAGGGGGGGGGGGGGTGAAACCATAAACCTCTAAAGGGGTAGCTCTAACAGGTACCTACAGCAATGGCTGCATGCTCATACATATACATTCCGCTGCCCATTGGCTCACAGTGGTTTTACCATATTGAGACAAGACAAGCTCTCCTTGCGTAGCAAGACAAAACAACTACTGTCCGTGTGCAGGGCGCTGCCCTTTGATCCTTAGGGAATAAACTGGTCATACACCTCCTAACAAGGAGCATTTCCTTGTGGGTGTATCGGCACAGTTTTCTGGTAGCGGAGCCCGGAAAGGGCCGCCCGCCTCCTAAAGTCCGCTACAGCGGTCGGCCTCGCCGAACGCTTAACCAAGCGGATAAGAGGCAGCACAATGTCGAGCTCGCATAGCGAAGCCGACGGCAGTTCCCAATCCTCCGGGGGATATGAGAACGAAGAGACCTCCCAAGGTCCAGCCACTTATGTCGCACAGTCATATGCAACATCTGACCGCATGCTTGCATCATTAGGCATAACGCCCAAGATCGCGCCTGCCTATGATGGCACCACCTCGTGGTTTGAGTATGAACAGTTGATTGACGACTGGTGCGACATAACAACGCTGGATGACACCAAAAGAGGTCCGTCTCTCAAGACGAGGCTCTCCGGATTGGCCGCAGTACAAAAGGAATCACTGAACCGAGAAAGGCTTGCAGCCCCAGATGGAGTAGATTACTTCAAGAAGAAGATGCGTCCATTTTTCGTGAAAGGAGAACAGTACGTTTTCCTGTGGCGTTTCCTCGGCCTATTCAAGGCATGGAAGGGCAACCAAGACTTTGTGACTTGGATTGCCAAGTTTGAGATCGTGCTACAGCGCGTGAAAAACTCATGGATGGATCTCTTACCAGAGATAGCTCTGGAGGATGCCCATCCAGATTTCATGCAGGCTGTGCAGGCAGATCAAACCTTCTTGCGCCTACAGGATGCAACCGAGAGAGACACATACGCCGCACGTTTCTTCGAAACATGGAACAAGGAACGCCTTGATAATCATCGAAGAGCGTTTCCTCTAAATGATAATCTCCTAGCTCTCCTCTTCCTAGTGCAGTCCGACCTAAATGAGATGCAACGTGAGAGGTTGGTAACAGCATTGACCAACCAAGGTCACCGAATTGAGACCTACACGTACCCTGTGGTACGGCAGACCATGTTCGATCAGTTCTCAACGACCAGAACTGGTCTGCAGGATCCCAACATTCGGCACTCTTCTCACAAGAAGGACCGCCATGGAAGGAGAGACCAACGCCGCAAACGCGGAGGTCGAAACTTCCTCATCCTCGATCAGGGTGAATACGATGGAGTCGATGGATTCTGGCTCCAAGACGAAGACACCCTTGAGGAAGGCTTTCTTGCCGCCGAGGATGAAGAAGCTGTCTTCTGGACAGTTGATGACCATGAGGCCTTCGTTGCAAGGAGATTCAAAAAGGGAAGAAGACCAAGAATGCGTCCCGGATCACCGGGAAGAGCAAAGGGTGGCAAGCGAAAAGGACGTGGCCGTTTTAGGTCATACCGCGGAAAAGGGAGAGCCAACCAGGCAGAACATGATCCAACTGATTCCAGCTATTTCGGTAAAGGTAAAGGAAAGGAAAAAGGAAAAGGTGGAAAAGGCAAAGGAAAAGGAAAGGACAAAGGAGATAAAGGAAGCTCCTTCAAAGGTGCAAAGGCAAAAGGCAAAGGTAAGGATACAGCTAAGTCTGCCTCCTTACAAGGAGACCAAACTGGATCTCCACAGGCCTATGAAAGTTCCACCGCACCGAGCTGGGATTCATGGTATGAGGACAGTTATTATACTGACTCCAGTTGGAATTATGCCGCTTATGACGATCAAACGTCTTATACATACTATGCATCACAAGCCTCACGAAGAAAAACACGGAGAAAGAAGAGAAGAAATCAAGCAGGATCATCAGGTAGAGGCACAGATCCGAGCGCGCACCAAGAACCCGTGTTCAACTCATCAGTGAGTTACGTGCCCCAGGTCTTTGAACCATCCGAGGGGCAAGGTGTTGAAACTGCAACAGCGGTGTTTCCGTTGCAGCACACCGTCCTATCTGCTCTCACAGAGCGGATCAATCTTGATAAGAACCCTACCTTTGTCATACTTGACTCAGGTTGTACTAGGGCTATGGGTTCCCGCTATGCGGTGAACAGGCTTATCAAGGCCGTGAAGCAACGTGCCCCAGGCATGATTGATTTCACTTTCTCACCTTCGAACACGAAGTTCTCTTTCGCAGATAGTGAAACAGCTCTTATCAAGGAGCGTGTAACTCTATGGTTCAACACAACTCCAAGAAGAGATACAACCATAGAAGTTTTGGATCAGGGGAGAGTTCCCATTTTGTTCTCCATCGAACAGATGAGGAATCTAAGAATGACCCTCGAGTGTAGTCCCACAGCTGACCTAGCAACGTGTGAAGCTTTCGGTTTGTATAAAACCCCTCTTCCGATTAGTACCAATAACCATTTGGTATTGGACCTTCTAGGCTTCACTTCCACCAGGAAGTATCTCCCTAAATCAGGTACGTCGTTCAATGCGACAGAGACTGCTCTAGGAGCTAGGAAGCCAAAGGAAGAAGGAAGACCTTATACTAGGATCCCGGAAGGTCGCTGTCCAGCCTGCGCAGGACAGAAAAGGGCTCATACGTACCTCAAAGGTTGCGACAAGGCACCTGAGGGAGCAGCTGATCCACCACCGAAGGGCATTACAGGTAAGAAGAAGCCTCTTCCATCTGATCCGGCAGAATCATCTGCCAAGAAACCTGATCCACCAGAACCATCTGGTGATGCTCCTGAGCCTTCCGAACCATCGGAACCATCATCAGGCTCTAGAGACAAACCTGCAGAATCATCTGCACCGCACGAACCTCCAGAAGAAGAAAGACTTGAGGTTCCACCTGCGAAGACAAAGACTCCAAAGGGTCTTAAAAACCTTCTGAAGAAAACCCGCAAATATGCGGTCAAACCTCCTGTTGAAGAGAAGTCTATGGTCCCAGGAGCTGATGACGGGACGGAGGTAAGACCACTTGAGTCAAGAGAATACCCGGCTCCTGGTACAGACTCACCTACAGGTGAAGAGATTGTCGCAGAACCATCGCCATCTCTTCCCATTGCTCTTCGCAGGATTCATGAGAAGCTTAAGGACCCTGTAGAACTCTATAAGCTTCACCTTAAGCACCGTCATATGAGTACGGATCAGTTCAAGCGACGCACGAAAGCCTTACAGATCCCAAAGGAGATATATGAGCTATATGACCAACTGGTCAAAAAGTGTTCAGCCTGTCAGGAACACGTGAGAGCTCCTTCAAGAGCGAAGATTTCCGGTTTAAGATCAGAGACTTTCGGTGATCTCACCTTCGTAGATCACGGTGAGCTTCCAATTCCCGGCAAGGATAGTCGCTTAATATTTCTTATTCTCTATGACGGAGCAACAAACCTGTTGACTTCCGAAGTAGTCCAGGATAAAGAAGAGCATACTACAATGTCGATTATGAATGACTACTTTGAGAAATTTCAGATCAACCCAAAGGTTGTAGTTGGAGATCAAGCATTCATGACTCCAAAAATGGAGGCTTATTACAATCGGCAGAATATCAAGCCTGTAGCAACAGGACCTGGAACACCATGGCCCAACAGGGCCGAAGCTGCTGTAAGATTGCTGAAGCATCAGATTAAGATCATACTTCAGATCCTGAAGGATGGTGACCCGCAGTATAACGGAATCACCATGAAGTATGGCAACCTCGTTCGACAAGCATGTTTGGCAAGAAACTCTTCGATTACCTATGGAGGAGTTACTCCTTTAGAAATGGCCTTTGGTAGGCGTCCTCGAGATGTTATAACACCAGAGAACGCTGATCCCAATCAGTTGACAGGTAATCCAACTGATACGGAAGTCACTGCGAGAGCCATTAAGGAGCTTGCCAACAGGGCTTACCAAGAGGCACGCCAATCTGATGATCTGCGCAGAGATCTTGCGGCCAGACTGTCAATGACCGAAGGACCTTTCTCTTTGGGAGATAAGGTTTTCTACTGGTCAGAGGATAAGTCTAAGATTGGATCAACTGGGTCCAAACATGGATCTTGGCTAAAAGGAAAGGTGATCTCCGAAC